ATGTCATGATGAAACTTGGTACACGTATTTCTTGGCTCCATAAGAAGGTTAAGTTCGAAGATGGGCAAAATCGGCCCACTGCCACGCCCACAAAATGGCGGAAACCGAAAACTTATAAAGTGTCATAACTAAGCCATAAATAAAGATATTAAAATGAAATTTGGCACAAAGGATCGCATTAGGGAGGGGAATATTTGGACATAATTTTTTTGGAAAAGCCCCCTACTAACTTTTTTGTACATATCTCGAAAACTACTATAGCTATGTCAACCAAACTGTACAGAGTCGTTTCTTTTAGGCATTTCCATATACAGTTCGAAAATGGAAGAAATCGGGTAATAACCACGCCCACCTCCCATACAAAGGTTATGTTGAAAATCACTAAAAGTGCCCTTCCTTACTTGTTTTAATTAGTGATTGTGGAAATTATCGTGCTTTCATTTTTCTTAGTCCCAAGCGATCTTTTAAAATGTTTTCAATGAAACAAACGGGTGCAAATTAATCGAGTTAGGCAATGAATAATAAATATTGTGACTACTACATATTACTACTTGAAGAGCTCAATCTGAGAACGTAACATGCAGCATAATTTATGGTCTACTTTTGGTTTCACTGCTGCTTCGTGAACATTGTTCTTCCGCATTAACCACGGTTTGGGATATCAATGCAATTTTTTATTCTTGTAAAAATATAGTACATCGGTGTCTCGCTGCCATTATGTAAGAAGCTTGATTTTTTTTGCGTGGCCACCACGAGCACGCTTGCAGAAGTCCAGACGCTGAACCCAATTTTCGACTGTTTTCAAGAATAAGTACTGCTGTAATTTTACGATCGATATTCGTACGAAGTTCATCAATCGTCGCTGGCTACGTAGCCCTACAGAAAACAGTCGTAACAGCGTCAAATCACACAACCAAAGCGGCGAATTGACTGGGCCATTTCGTCAGATAACACGTTTACCAAACATGGCACTTCTTTGCTTCACTGACACAGGAACATTTTGTACATACAATGCCTGTGGATTAAAATTTTTCCACTAGACTCAATTGTTGATCTGACAGAACGAGTATGACGACCATAAATTGGACGTAGCGCACTTAAAGTTGAGGCCACTGACTCCGAATATTGGTAGTAAATTTTAATAATTTCTATAAGGAAATGACAAACCTTACTGAAGAGAAATGTCAAAAGAGCGGGAAAAATATGGCGTCGTTTGCTGTCCCTATCGGACACTACTTTTGCAATGTCCCCATTGAAAAACCCGTTATATACATATATGAATATTTATAAGTGGAAGATTTACGGATAGTGAGTCAATCTTTTGAATTGTTGGCTTAAAATTGCAAATATGTTTTTTAATTAATCAGTGACAGCCATTTATTTTCATCGGTAGCAATTTGTCTGGCATGTAACTTCTTCGATAATTACTGCATTGCAAATTTTTGTAAACGACTCGGCAAGCAATTAGATAACCTTTCAGAACAAAAACGACTAAAATTATTCTGTAAATTCATATGCAGACATACACATGTATAATTGCATGCCTTATTTCTACAACTTTCAAATAAATTTTTTAACATTATAAAAAGAAACGCATGTATTAACAATAAATTCAGAGCTTTGGGAATTATTTATAATAACTGGTATTAGCCATTATTTTTAACGCCAGTTTTAATGTAATCAGCCGTTCGGCACTCAGTACCGGATATAGTATAGTAGTACAACATGATCGCATTAGCATCGGTATCATCATAGTTCAGATGGAACTACTATGTAGTTTTAACATATATTCCTATAATTGTTTTATTTTGAAATGACTCACACATCGCTCTTTCGATCGTTTTTATTAAGTTTTGTTCTTTAGCCCTTGTTCGTGGTTTTTTAGCATTCAATTTTAACTACGTTCTATTGTTTAAGTCCTATCATTAACAAATCATATTCAAAGGCACAAAACGACGCAAACGTTTTCAACAAAGAAGTTCGGGTTCGTAACATAATCCATATTTTCTAAACTAAAAAAAACATACAGATATACGTGACAATTTCAATACAATAACAACAATTTTGTAAAGCCGTAAAACATAAACATGAATTCCTTAGTTTAGCGCCTTCATTATCGTTAACTGAATGTGTTTTCTGGTCACGTTCTGAGTTCGCACTTGCCAATTTATAGCGTCTAGACGCTGTACGATAATACGGATCAGTCGCCATTTGTTAACATATTAGTTGCATGGATGTCAATATTTAAAATGTGCTCTTGCGATCATCAATCAAGAAGCAGGTCACATACATATATTATACATACATATACTATTTGGAGAGATTTCTATAGGATTACAGATATAATATGCCTCGGCAATCTTTGCTCGATTAAATAATACAAACTTCTGTTATTCCTTATTTCAGTGGTTGCTCGAAGTGTTCCTACACTTCCTACAACTTCCTGTTGCTACAGTGTAATATTACAGAGTGTAACTAACGTATTGTTCACCTAACGGTTGTGACGAGTTGCACGTGACTGTCTGTCCGTTTAGCTAATTAAGATATCTAATTGAAACTTGGTACCCGTGTACCTTGGCAAAAATGTGTCACTACTAAGCACTAAACAAAGATATAAACCTGTAATTTGGTACAGGCGATTGCAGTAGAAAGAGCACCTGTTATACATTTTCATAATTACCTCCTAAACCACTAAAGATATAATAACTAAACTCGATTAGGCAAATTTGTAAAAGAATTCCTACAAGCGGTGTGAAAATGCATGGAATTGAATAATAATCCCACCATTCCTTTATAACGGTTTCATCAAAAACTACTTCAAGCGCGATAAATCAATAATTTAATTTTACATCCACGAGGACTAAAATTGAACAATAGGCGTTACACCGTTTTAAATTTCACCTGTTCTTTCACTTTGCAGCATAAAAATTAATCACTAAATTACCGAACAAATGTACTCCAGTTCCTATTACTTACTTTTTGTCGGTCAATCTATGCGATATTTTACGGAAACGCGGACAAAAGTCTTAAGTGGTAGTAATATGCTTCTGCGCCAAAAATGGGATGAATCGGATCAATAATTCTTTCAGTTTCTATTAGGGCTAATGTATATTTTTGCCCAAAATGGATAAAATCTTGTGAAAGTTGTATGTATGTAACTAATATTACAATACTCAAACATTCGGTTGATTTTAGTCGTTATACTTGTATGTTGGTGATGGTATATAACGTATCTCAATTAAACTCAAAGAGCACGTTTTTCTGTTAATAATATGAACGTACAATGCGGAGTACACTATAGATTTAAGCCGAAGATTCGTTTATATCTGAAATTATACTATATGTAATGTTTGTCGTTACTCTAAAAACCGGCTCTGATCCTTAGCAATAATATGAAATGTTACATCCCAAATTAGCCCGTTGTTATTTGTTTATTCTTTCTTTCGTTTTAAATACATAATTGCTAGGATTTTAAGCATTTGTCATCTGAATTCTCTGAACCGCTTTCAGATTTGCAACTTATTCTTCTCCTCGCGCAGCATTTCACTTTTCATTTAGTCTATGAGTTGGTGAAAGCTTCTACTTTGAAGCAAAACTTTGCGGCGAATATCAAGGCATATTTGTAAACTTGTATAAAGTTTTCGGTCAATAAAATATCAAATATAATATATAAAACTAATATATATTTTTACCAAAAAATATAAAAAGTATGCTTCAAATAAGGTCGTTTGGAACGGTAAGTTTTCGGTTTCACCCCAAGTATTTATATTGTTGATGCTTCGGACTGAGGACATCTTATAATTACATTTCATAATAGCTAGAATAGGCTACTTCAAATTTTGACTTGGTTTACTGAAATATACCCTTCCTGCAAACAAAATTTTTTTTTTCTTATACATGCTTAAACGGTCTGATCATACAATCAACAGGAGTTATTCCTAGAAGTCACGTTATTTTTGCACACAGTGCGCTCATGTGCAGGTATGTCATAGATACCAATTTGCCAAAACGCCTTCGGCAATAAAGTACGATTTTTAATAAAAACAAATCATTTTAAACCTCAATTAATACAGCAGATACCAACCCAAAGTCAAATGCCCAAATGGCAACTAAAGTGTTGCAACAACAGTGCTCTTAGACTTCCAACAGGCAATAGGAGTAGTAACACCACCAGCTGGCACTTGCAATGAAAATGTATTGCATGCAATATTTTGCGATAATTTTTTTCAACAACGCTCCTCTTGCCATTTCCCGTCTAATGACCAAGCGCGCACAAGTCCGGAATAAACAGAAAAAAGCGAAATCTTCTTTCGTAGCAAATTAATTTTCCTGCTGGCCAAAACGAATTAATCACCTAAATGCGGCTGCCGCCTGATGTCGCTTTCGTTGGTGTTGCTGTCGCTTGTTCACTTGGCCTGCGAAGCACTTGCCGAGTTGTTGCGGCTGCTGCTTGCCACTGTTGGCATGCTAATGCTGCTACTACCGCGTGGCTATCTGCTACCTGTTGCCATAGTGCCCTCAAGGCATTAAACTCATAGTTGAGCCGCGTGGTCGAGACAGGTGCGCGCGGTATCGACAGTAAATCGACTAACGAGTTTTGCTGTCTTTCCATTTTTTGTTTCAGTTGTGATTGTTGCTTACCTCTTGCAAAAGTTCACTAGTATTTTTCATTTCCGCCAAAGAATGAAGCAACTGACCGCCGTGATCTGTGAAAAGTCAGACTTTATTTTTTAATTGTGGCACCCTCAAGAATTAGAAAAGCAACAAGAAATCAAAAATGTTTGGGAAATTGATTCAGAAGGAACTAAAATGTGATATAGTTCAGATTCAGGTAGGATTACTAGTACAGTATTCAGCTTTGATTTGTGTTGAAATTGCTCCAATTACTTTCTTTAAGTATCAAATGTCCGAATAGAATATGTAAATATATGCTTAAATAAATTTTTAGATTGGAAGAAATATAGTTCTCACTAATCTCATCTGCATAACTTTCTTTACAGTTATACCGAGAAACCATTCGACTTTCCATCTTCAATGGCCATTTGCTGCCATGTCCAGGGCTCGTGAGTTGGCCTTATTTGAGAAATGGACTGATGCTGCTGCCGCAACTGCCACCAACACTTTCCCACCCCTCGCCTCACCCACCTCGCCGAAGGCAACGAAATTTTGCTGTTGCCCGAATCGACGCCGCTATAACTTGAAACAACCAAAGGCGAAGTCCACCTTAGACGCTCGTAATATTTTCTTGGATAATGATTTTACGTACATCGATGATGTGGATAGACAAGGCGATAGCAACTACCACTTCAGCATCAAAGGTAACAGCGGCCGAAACTACAGTAGTGTGCGGCGTTGCGAGGCGCAACACGGTAACACCAACAATTGCGCGGACAGCGTAGCGTTAGTCAACCTTAAAGAATTAGACGGGCATCAGCGTGAAACTGACAAGTGGCTGCAACAACAGAGCAGAGAGGGGTCTGCTGCTACAATAGTCAGTAATAACTTTGCGGACGATTACGATGATATCAGTGATGTTGTCGACAATGCTGGAAATCGTAGATTGCGCCTAATGAATGCAGCTCCACAATTAGCAACAACACAGCAACAACCCAAAAGGGTAGAGTTAGCAACGCAATGCCACAAAGCGGATCATTTTCAACAAGTGCGACATGACAAAAGCTTTCATAATAACAGCAGCGGCAACACAAGCGCCAACGATAAGAGCACCAGTAACAATAACAACATCTGTGATTGTGAAAACGACAAGAGCGATGGTAATAACGGTAGCAACGCGCTGATTGCGGACAATTGTCAACCGAAAGTCGCAGGCGGCAGCAGCACAACAACGGTAATTGCAACAACAGGAAAAGTTGTTGGCAACAATTGTGCGGGTGAATGTAAAAGTAATAAACGTGTTGTTTGTGAGCAACTACAAAAACAACAGCTGGCTAACGACGGGCTGGCCGACGACCACAAGAACGATCAACAAAAAATCCAAAGACTTAGCGATAGTGAATTTAAACATAGCAATATTAATTGTAAGGGACAGCAAACGCAACAAAAACAACACTGCACAAGTGTTAACATTACAGGCGACAGCGGTGACTTTAGTGAGCTACAAGCGCGCGTTAATTGCCAACTTGACTCATCTACAACAACGACCGCGCCCGATTCGAACCGATCGACTGCACAGCAAAAACAAAGCCAAAACAATAGTATCAACTATAACAACGATAAAGCCAACAGCAGCGAAAGCGACAGCAAAATTGATTTGCAGAATAAAATGACAATAACCACAACGAATGCGGCGAGTCGCAAGCATTCGCGCGTCGAGTGTGGGTTGAGATCAACAGCAACAACCCTAGTCACAAACGCATCGACAGCAACAACGAAGGACAGCGTCGCGACAGACAACTCTTCCACAACGACCACAACGCAAATTACGCCCTGCAGTGTGAGAACAGCGCCGAACATGACTGGAAACACTGCAACAACCGACATGCCTACGTCCGCGTGCACGGCCGCGACGAACACGGTAACAACAACTCTAGCAGAAGTCGCTGCGATGCAGTTTCGGAACACTGCTGCCTCGCCAACGCCATCGTCGCGCCCATCAACACCCTCCTTAACAACTGTGATCAAAACAACGCTGGTGAAGCGAACGCCTTCGACGGAATCGTCAAAAAGTCCATCGCCAGTCACTACACCGACAACAATAACAAAGTCTATTGTCACCGCGACAGTGTCGGCACGAGCTTACAAGAGTGTGGGCAATGTTCGAGCGGGAGGAGAAGTAGTTCAAGACAATGCGCAGGAAACTGCGATGGCTGCGAGACCGCGCACATCCGTAAAACAACGCATTGCTGCCTTTGCCGCTGGAAATGGTGAGTGTTCAGCATAAGGGGTATATAAATGTTGGAGGGAAAGGCGGAACGATTTAAGTAAAATAATTTCATAATTCCTTTTAATATATTGACACATCCTGTTATGAACTGTGGCTCGAGGAAATTTTAATTCGTCTCCGAATGGAGATGTTTCGATAAATTGATGCTAAATGACTAGAACTAAAGAATTCTTAGCATTAGGCTGCGAATAAAACCGCGGCGAAATAGCACTCCAATTATTTAAGGAAAAAATTTATGAAAAAACTTATAAGTTAAGATTAACCTAAACCTGATTATATATACCATATATAGGATGCATTCAGTAAAGCTTACAAATTATTGCAATTATGCCTTTGCTAACTGCTTCTAGCTTAATTCCGCTTAAAAATGACAGCATTCTATTGCAAGTATGCAACTTTCAAATACTTTTAAAATAATTGTGTGCTCTACTACAGAACGATGTACTATTTTGTAAAATATTCGTCGAGTTGTAATGAAATTTGAACACGAACCGAACGTGATATGCCATAAGATTGCTTATAAATATCGAGAACAAAAAAAATTATGGCAAAGTGTACATAATTTGAGAATAATGAAAAAAAAAAAACAACAACCACAGTAGTAAAAACAAGTCAAAAGCGCATGAATATGTTGGAGCCCAAGGGAATGAAAAAATGCCACTGACCCAATGCGCCACTGAACGAATTACAGCACAAATTATAAAAGCTTTTTTCTCGTTGTACAACCGGAGGCAGTTGTCACATTGGTCTCGCCGAACTGAGTGACTCATGCACTGAAGTGAACGAATATCAAAACAAAAAGCGGATGAGTCATGCTGATGAGGCTCGTTTGCACAAATCTGAGCTTAGAAAAGGCAAAACCAAAAACCATAAGCGTAATAATTGCTGGCAATTATGCGGTTTTGCAATCGCGCAAACGCAAATAGTATCGAAAAAAAGTACAAATTACTGGGTGTGTTGCTTCCGCATTAAAGAAATAAATAGTAATGGTTGTGATTCGCATGTGTCTTGTCCTTGTTTTTTTGTTTTTTTTTTTTT